GCAAACTTATATTGGATTCTTGTGGCTATGAAACCACTTTTCAACTCTAACAAAGCCAAGTTAGCCAAACAAACCGAAGTGCCACACCCACAGACAGAAAATAAATAAAAGCTCTGTTATTTGCACAAACCCATACTCACAAAATCCATGCTTTGTGTACTTTTTTGTCTGTATGTGTGAGCGTTGTAGTAGTAGTAGTAGTAGTAGCCTAAGCAAATAAAGCGAACGTAGATTAGAATGCAATGTGAAACCCTTTGAAGGCGAGTGTCAAAATTAGAGAGTCCAAATCAAGTGGTACGTACCTACAAGTATATGTAGTGGTGGAGACCTCTTGCAAAACTTTCACAAACTAAAGAAACCACAAACATGGAAATGTACATAACAAAACTTGCAATAAAAAAGAACAAGTGCATAGCACATAACAAAGTGGGAGAAAGGAGCAGCTGTCAAATTCCTTTTAAAGTTAAAGAATTACCTCAAGAAAGTAGTAATTCCACTCGATGCTTTTTGTAAACTCTTTGTGCTATGCTGTGTATCATGTATCGATGTACAATATATATAAAGATATTCATACATAAAGCTTGTTGTTGTGAAATAACTTTTGTATAAGTATTTGTATCTTAATATGTATGTATGTCTACGAAAAGCAATTTCTCATATTTTTGAGCAGGTGCAAGTCCATTTAGTTAAAATTGCCCAACTCGACATAATCTAAAATTAATTATAGCATTGAAATTTGTTGTAATTTATCTAAATACGATGTGAAGCAATTTATAAAAATTCAAGCCAAAACCTTACGCCAAAGTAATTAAATTTCATAACTAAAAAATGTCGAAAACTGTTTTTTGTTAAATTCACAAAAATCCACTTTAGCGCTTTTTGGCAAGAAGCACTAAATTTTAAATTCGAAACTTAGCCATTGCTATTGTGTTTGAAAAAATGTTAAATTGCGAAAAGCTTCAAAGTGTAAAGAAATATTTACATGAAAATCCGAAAAATGTTTACACTTGCAGGTAAAGCAAAAAAAAAAACAAAAACGCCTGCAACAAAAATGTTTACTTTTTAAATTGCTTTGAATTTATGCATTAGCAGCAGTTTTCAGCAATATTGTTTAAACTTTTGATCAAAACTGCTTGCTATCGATATTTACTCAATATTTTTACTAGAGGTAAGGTGTGTAGGTATGTAAGTGTGTGTGTTTTGTTATCAATTATAGAAATTGCTCGTCTTGCTGCTAGTTTTGTGTTAAAATTGCAAACCTTTCAAATATTAATTTGAGTACGCCGCTTTTTCTATAGATGTACATATGTATATATTTGTATATATATATTATATATATGAGTATTAGATGCTTTGATTTAAATTGTGCATATTCTTATTAATATGTATGAATAGCATACATATGTTCATATATGCTTAACTCACAAATATTTGTATACTATAAATCATACTAAACGAATAACTTTGCTTAGTGGTATATTCGGAAAACAGAGATCAATGGAATTAATAAAAAAATAATCTCGCCTTTTACTAAGCATCCTTGACAGACTGTCACATCTATCCGACATCGTATTTTGAGTGATATTTTGAAAAATAAGAAAGGAAAGAATTTTCAAGGATAAACACAATAATACTTTTACAGAAAAATATTATTTTCCAAATTACCGACTGGACATCTGAGTACCGGAGACCATGGAAGCGTAGATGTCCAAGAGAGGTTCTTATTGGCGAATACATAAAAAAATCCAAAAAAACAACGTTGGAATATTTGGATATAAGAAAGCTCTATGCAAGGTGGGTGTCACGTGAACTCACAACTAACGCAACAAACAGCGCCAAAAATTATTGAAGATGTTCTCAAAACTGCATATATTAAGCTTCGAATTGTTCCCACATATACCATAGTCTCTAAGTCTAATCGCAGCACTTATGCTCTTAGGAAAATACATTTTATTGACAAATTCTATTTTCTTTATTTCAAATATTTTTCAAAATTTGTTTAGCAAGTTTTTCATAAAAACCTCATTACTATCTGATCAAATCTGGTCCTGTCCAACAAAAAAAAGCTGTATTTTCCCGAATTTTGATAAAATGTTTTTTCATTGCTTTCAAAATACGCTCCTTTTAAGCCAATACAAACATACACTTAATCTGACTTTATATACACTTCTTAAAAGCGTCGGTTGTGATGGCCTTCTGCTTCGGCTGCCAAACACACAATAATTAACATATGGAAATTAAACTGCAAACAAACTTAGAAAATGTTTTACCAATCTAAGAAAAAAAATGTCGTCTTAATTTGCGGTCGCAGTTTATATAGACCAGTGTGGGTCAAATTTGATCAGATGGTATGTATCACAAACGCTTCCGCTAATTTTAAGCCGTTAGTCTTCAGATTTCGTAGCTTTTTACTCCCACTACACTCAATTATAAGTGATGCGGGGTTATGCTTGCGTTACAAATATATGTTAATATACCAGCCAAAATTCTTGAAAATTACTAATATCGTCATTAATGAAGCTTGACTCAATTTCAGCTGCACTTCATAAACAAAATTATAATAAAGAAAGTATTCGCCTTAAGCAACCGCCTTACATCGGCATGTACCCACACTTATAAAGCACCCGTATATGAAAGTATGTATGTATGTATAAGTATGTGTATATATGTATAAGAGTACAAAGCAGAAATATACATCATTAACTTACTACTTATGAGCAAATAAGCACAATAGAATACTAGTAGACCTTTAAGTGATGCTGAGAAATGCGCAGGCAAACATACTAACGCACACGTGTAGCTGTATACATGTATGTACAACACATATGTACAAGTATGTTGGTAGCATTAGCGAAATAGCATTTATACCCACAAATGCTTTTGGCGTAAAACACAAAGATGCAAAGAGAGTATGGAGCACAGCCGGCGAAATTTCACCAACAAAGTAAACCACAAAAGCTTTTCAGGTAAGAGTACATGTGAATTTGTGCTTGCAGTGGGTGCTGCTGCGATAGGATTTGCTACCTATATATATTTAAGTATATGGTGAGAAAAAAAAACGCTACGTAATCACCTACATGATGTTGCTAATGAATTTAATGCCATACAAACTGATCCAAGAGAGAGCTACAGACAAAAAGGCTGAAGTGAATTATCGGTTGAAGAAGATGTTAGAGAGCGTTTGCCTTTGCTAGTGAGTTGACGACGGAAGAAGTTGAAGCTGGGGGAAGCACCGTTGTACAGATTCTCGTGCTATAGTTATGATTATAATTGGGAAAAGTTAGGAGTTTAATGAAAAATTTTTCAAAAATTTCAATTTTGTTGTTGTCTATTTTGCTTCTTCTTTTATTTATCAAATTTTTTTTAATTTTTTTATATGTTTTCAGAAACTATTCACATTTTCAAAAATGAAACTTTCAAAAATAAAGTTGCCAAAAAATAAATTTCAAAAATAAAGTTATCAAAAATTAAATTTTCTAAAATTAAATTTTCAAAATTGAAATTTTTAAAAATTACTTTTTTAAAATAAACTTTTGAAAAAACATATTCTCAATTTTTGTAGATGCGCAAACATAGGTATGTAAATATGTATATATAATATATAAATAAAATTAAGTCACACTACATTGACTTAATTGCAGCTCAGCGCAAATGGTTCGGAAATTTCTGCTTAATTGTTTTTATTTATTTACTTCTAATATTAGTATTTTAGTTTCGAATACTGTTACGGTAAAGTCTCAAGTAATAATCATTACTCACTACACCTTACAACTTAGCCAGCAGCTGCATCGGTCCACATACTATACACTAACGTTGTTGTTATTACCTTTACACCCTTCATATGTTATCTGTATAAATATTTATACATATAACATACATACATATAAGTACTTACACATATGTATATATACTCGTATAATTCCCGAACTTCTCCACATCTGTAATCCACAAATCTTTTTAATTAATTTCTTAGCTTTCGCACACCTGCTGCAGTGACGACGCACAAAAGTATACTACAAATTTTCAACCAACTCTTTGTAGGCTTTTACACGCACACATTACTACGTTACATAACGACATTGTTTTTATGGGTGTGTATTTATGTATTTTTCACCAGCCGCCAGCATCTGTAACGGCATAGGGTTGAAGTGTGTGCGTGCATTAGTATGCGAGAATGCGGCTTCGCGCCTCTAATATGATTGGCATAGTCTGTACGTGCCCAGAATTTTGCGTAATTTTATTGTCACTCAAATCGCTTGCCGCCACAAACTGAATCAGCAAAATTTCACGAAGGCAGACAGATTGTCTTCTGTATTTAGGAGTGTTTGCGTGTGTATATTTAAATTTGATTATTGTGTATTACCGCATATATTTTTATGGCTGGCAATTTTGTGGCAGGTGAATTTAAATCAAAAAATGTTCTTTGAAAATGCTGTGGGACTGTGTTGTGGAACTATAAGAACTATTAGCTTCTCTCTGTGCCAAAGTCGCTCAAACGAATGAAAAATCAAATTTTTGTAAAAAAATGCTTTTAAATTTATGTCAAAAAATATAAAAATTCATTGGTGATTTGATGATAGTTAAGTCTATTGTCCATATTTGATCTATTGTATCGCAGCTTTTTGAAAGTTTTTTGTACATTTTGATGGAAAAGTTGCATAAGCAGAGATAGTAGATATACAATGAATTCAGCAAGTCTATATAAATTTTAACCAAAACGCTTCTGTATAATATTTTAACACACTAGCTCTGTGTCTTTTTTACTGAAAAATTTAAAATAAAAATCGGTTAATAATATTTGCTTCAAATTCTACTATAAATGACTGGCACTAAATTTAAATTGTAATTTTGCGACTAAAATTTTCTATAAAACCTTCAATGTGGGGGATTTCTATGCAAGCAGCTAGGTTATGGCAATAACTTTATCAACTATCCAATTTTTTTAAATAAATATATATACCTGCTTGTATGCCATACTAAAAGTAATTACACATCTCATATTCATATATATGCACATAATTTTATTCATATTCAAATGAGAGCTTAATATGGATTACTAGCTATATTTAAGTACATAGCGCCAATAAAGACAGAAATATTGAATATTATTAAATAGAAAAGTAGGAATAAATATGTGCTTAAACACACGTACACAGTTGTTTAAGCATTACAAAACTTGACTAAAAGGTGGCAACACACTTTGTTGTGGCTACGTATATGTACGTATGTATGTATGTGTGTGCGTTGCAATCACAATTAAAGCTGTTTACATATATTTAGGTATATATAGTATCAAGGTTTTTATGAAGATCTTAGGATCGTATTGCAGTGGGTATTTGAAGAAGCCTAAGCGCCTGACTTCACTGCATACATACATACGTTTATATGAAGCATGTATGCCATAACGCGCTTAAAGCATTTGTGTTGTCTTTAATATATATATTTTTTGTTTTACCGAAATACTTATATAAAATGCAATGGTATACAATTACAACAGGTTGAATTTTTGAAAAAATATAGCTTTTAGTTTCTTGCTTGTTTCTATCGTCACTTCACTTTTACATACATACAAAAATATAATTGTATGCCTTCATTTGAAGAATATTCTATATATATATATATATATAATTTTAAGAATATTCATGACATCTATACACACTAAAAAGATCTATCTTCCATTTCCATTACAAGTTGCGCATTTACAATTCATAAATACTTATTCAAGTTTTGTTTTTAAAATATTTCTTTTATGTTTTTATGTGTGTGTATTACATTATAAGTTTAAAAAATTCTTAAAAATTTCTCTCATACAATAACATATTTGCTTCGATCTAATTTAGAATTGCTGTTTATTATTATTTATAATTTTATTTATATCTTTATTTATTTATTAATGTTTTGTTGTTTTATATTTCCTCTTTGGTGTTTATTTAGGTTTTCTTTTTTGATTTATGTTCACTTCTTCTTTCTGGCTTGAGGTTTATGTGGCAAAAAGAAGCTCGCATTGAATATTTCAGATTTTTAGCTCATAATGTTCTCAGTACAATAATTTTCTTAAGCTTTTAAAATGCATATATGTAACATTATTAATTGTTGTTATTAAAAATAGTTTTCGACTTTTTTCAAAGTGTACAGTATTGTAGTGAGTTTTCTGAAATCCTTGTTGTGTTTATGTAAAGTAGTGTTTCAAATTTGCTCTAGAGCAGTAGTTCATCATCACTATCCGTGAATTCGCCATTTGTATCGAGCAACAGGTTAGCTTCCTCATTAGATTGAACCTGTCGATGAGAGACAAATTTGTTTACATGCTCTATGCTTTTACAATCAAAATAAGAATTCAAATTCAAATATAACTTTGCATAAAATTAAAATTACAAATTAAGTTAATCAACAAAAATTATAGTTAAAATTAAAAATAAAATGAAAAATAAAAAATAAAAATTAAACATAAAATCAAAACTAAATTAAGAGAAAAAAAATAAAAATTAAATTAAAATTAAAGCAAAAAAAAAAAATAAAATTAAAAGCATAAATAAAAATTTAACACAACAGTAAAATTCATAACAAAATTCAAATTAGAAATTAAATTAAAATCAAAAATAAAATAAAATAAAAAAAATTAATATTGAAATTAAAATCAAAATGTAATTAAAATCAAAATCAAAATTTAAAAAAAAAATATAATTAAAATTAGTAAAAATTAAAATCAACATTAAAATTAAAGTTAAACCAAATGAAATGCTTGCCTTCCCTTCCGCCAAAACTTACCCTGGAATAACGCACCGCCGACGTAGTGCGTCTAAACAAGCGCCTCACGCTGTTCCGGCGCTCCGGCGAAAAAGCAAACACACCAAGGCAAGCGACGAAGCAAGTCAACGATAATATAGCGGCCAATATAGCTGTATTGCCGATGTGCACACGAGCGCAGCGCGACCCAGAAAAAAGATAGTTGCGAAATTGGAAAATTATAAAATGTAAAATTTACTGTGGCAAAATAGATTTACAAGTAACTGCATAAGAAAATCAAAAAAAAATAAATTTAAAAAAAAAAATTGGGAAAAAAAGTTATTGTCGAGCGCCACAAAGTTAATTTACCTCCAATGGAGCCAGTTTGCTCGGCAGGATGTGCGCCGCCATTATCTACGCCGCCTGCTGGTGCTGCTGTGCTGCTCGTTGTAGTTGTTGTTGGCGTTGCAACAGTGCTGCTATCGCCAGAGTCGTTCGCCGTTGGCGGCGGCACTGCTAGTCTAAGGAATTTGCAGATATCCGGCGTGCTCTGGTGCACAACCAAGTTGCATTCCTTGCTCGCCTGCAAAAGACACAGTGTAAAGAAGAGCAAAGAAATACTTTAAAAATTAGCGAATATTGAGAAAGTAAAATGGAAAAAATGTGAAACATGTTACAATAAGTACAGTTGAGTGTAGAACTTTTTTTGCCGTTTAGCAAAGTAAACGCTAGCTGATTCGTAACGGTGGTATTGCGAGTAACTAGCTGCTAATATTTGTCAGCGTGCGTGTGTATGTGTGAAGAGATTATTTTGTTGCAAGCAAAAATTAACAAGCTTATTCACACTTAGTGAATGCGCATGTTGCTTGTTATTTGCTTTTGTTTTTGTTCTTGTTGCTTGTGCAGCTGCCATCTTACAGGGCAATGCAAAGACTTCCACTACCAAAGTTTAACACACTTGTACGCATGCAGTTGTAAGTGTGGCAAGTAGCTGTATGTGCAATTTGCTTAAGTGAACATTAATGTTCCAGCGCGTGACTTGCGCCACACCGCCGCACCAGCGCCGCCCACACCAACCGCGCGCGCATAGAGGCAGCCATCAGCCATGTGGTAGCGCGGCAGTCAGCGAAGCGGCAGCAACAGTAAACTTAAATAAAAACCCATTTTCAAATTGCTGCGGATAAATGTAAATGCCTGCCAAGTCGCTGGAGATCTGCTGCCACCGCTGCAACTCTTGTTGTTGCTAGGGTTGTAGAGACAGTTGCCACTTGCTCTTCGGCGCTACAAAAGCACACGCACGCCAACTGTAAATGTATGTGTGTGTGTGTGTGTGTGTAGAAAAAATAAAGACAGCGCGCAAGGAAACCGGCTCTACTACTCACGCGAATGCGTAGACAGACAAACAAGCAGTCAGAAAGGAATTAGGGGAGGAAAACTAGACAATTTTCCACCTTGTAAAGAGCTAATACGACAGCGCAGATAGTAAAATGTGATAATGTCTAAAAAGAAAATGCAGAATAGAAATAAAAACTAAAAAAAAGGAAAAATTGCAAAGCAACTTGCACATAGCGGTAAAGTGGTGTGGAAGGCGGCACGCAGCCGAAGTGCATGGCAGCCTCAAAAACCCAAGATGGCATAAATGAATATGCATCCGGTGTTGCGGCGCTGAATGTCTTGACAACATTAGTTGCACTCACGTTGCATTGCCACTTCAGTGCACCACACTCGATCCAGCCCTGGCTCACTGCCGACAAGTTAAAGTTTCGGAAAATCTTGAGTAATAACAATTTTTATGCGGCATATTTAAAGTGTGCGTGCGCCTGCAAGTAGACTACCTAAAAGTTTACGGAAAATAAGGTAAATAAATGCCATAAAAGAGGTGATGGGATAATAAAACTGAGAGAGAGTATACAGAAACAAAAGAAATAGCGAAAGCGAGACAAGTGTAGAATAAATAAAATGAAGAAGTGGTTGTCAAAGAGAAGTCGTCGAATTAAGTTAAATTGAAAATAAGTGGCGTCGAAATTTAAGATAAAAGGAAAAGTAGAGGAATTAAATTAAAAGGTAACGGACAATGAAACTAAAAGACGTGAGAGAAATCAGCGTAAGATTATTATTATTTTTGCAAAATTTTATAATTTATATCTTTATCAGCAAAACTTGGCAACTCTTCTTATACTTTTGTCAAATTTTTCGTAAAACAAAATTTGCGTAATACTAAATAAAATAATTTTTAGTTTTTTAAAGGTAAACATATAGATAAAGATAAAGATAAGGCTTAAGGTAAATATAAAGATTAAGGTAATGGTAAACATAAAGATAAAGCTAAATATATAGATAAAGATAGAGGTAAACATAAAGATAAAGAGAGAGGTAAACATAAAGATAAAGATAGAGGTACAGATAAAGATAAATACAGAGATAAAGGTAAAGGTGAACATAAAGATAAAGATAAAGATAAACATAAACATAAAGATAAAGATAAAGTTAAAGATAAGGTTGGTTTAATTTTTTGTCGGGTATATTCCAGCGTTGAAATTTACCAATTTGTTACTGTATACGTTTATACTATTTGTAATGAGTTTTTGCAGTGAAATTGTAGTGACGATAATTTATAAGTATTTTATTATTTCTAATTGACCATTTATGATAATTTTTATTTTCCTTTAAATTCAACTATAAAACCGGTAAACAAATTTCACAGTATTCCTATTTGTATTATTATGCACATTTTATATAATTTAATTATTCTTAGTAAGAAAATATCAACTATTTCAATCAACATAGCACGACAGCTCAGATGGAAAATATAATCTCACATATTTTTTTATAACTGCAAAATTTTAACTTCAATTATCATTAATAAAGTACGGCAAACGAAAAATTTCAATTGCAAATTTTATTCGTTTTGTTTTTGTTTTTGTTATTCAACTTAGTGCAGAAGTAATCAACGCAACAAAAAAAGACTTGCATTGAAATTCATTAAACAAGCGCTCAACTATGGCCACAGAAATACAAAACACCGTTAACCCTGAACTAAACACTACAACCGCAGAACGTAATGGAACGGAGCTGAAACCCTGCTGCTAAAGGCTATGAAGGACGCGCACTTGAATATTCTGCATACAAGTGTAATTCCAATACACAAGAACAAATATAATTACAACAAAAACTACAAAAACAACACTTAGTTATGTAATGCCAAACAATGCAACCGCAACAGGGTGGAATTATAACAAAAAAAAACACTACACTTGCTCCACTTTAGCATACTTTCAGGAGCGTAACAACACACTAACAAATCCAAACACTTGACGCACACTCGAAACTGAAACTGAAATTGAAATTAAAATTGAAATTGTAAATGGAAATTTAAATCGAAGCGGGTTAAGTGCGCGCCAACAACAAATTCAATTACACAAACAAAAATATGCAACACAAAAGAATACAATTAATATACAAGTGCATATAATTCAACTTTTACCGCTTTTATGTGTCACACATTTATTTATTTTTTATTGTCTTTTTTTTTTGCCTTTTTTTATTGTTACTTGTTACAGCGAATTTCGATCTCGCACACTTTATTTTCATTGCATTGCATGCATATAAATTTATATTTGTTTTTGTGTTGAACATTTGCTCGTCTTATTTTGTCTGCCACCGCGCGCATAAAGTTCGAAGCTAATAAAATTTATTGCGCTGCTTTTTAGCGATTGTGTCAATCAAAACACTCGCGAAGACTCGTAGCGAACTGGAGTTGACACTAAATGTGCGTGGCAATGCATTGAAAGAAGTGCAATAGAAGTAAGCTTTTGGGCGCCAAAGCGCGCTTTCTGCTGGCAAATATCTGCTCGATTTTTTTCTATTTTTAATTCAACTTTTTTAAGTCGATAAAGTTTTATACGCATTTTAGCATAGCATATGCAAACGCTAACATATTTTTAGGCGCTTAAACGAAATTGGCATAATAAAAGTTGACATGCCTTTATGTCTTCTAAATACATTTGAATTACACTAAAATGTGCGTAGTTAAATTCACTTAGGTGCTTCAGCGTCTTATAAGTGTTCGTAAAATGCTAAGTTTGGCTTTCACAGTGGTGGTGAGTATTAATTTTTCATCTCTTAAAAGTGGGCTTAGTTGATTTTCTAATTTACAGGGGTTACTAAAATGTATTTTATATTTATTTTAATATTTTTTGGAAATAATAAAAATTAATTAGTTATATTTTTCGAATTATGTTTGTTTATTTATTATTTAAAAAAAAATAAACATTAAAAAAATAAATTTGTTTAATTTTATTTTTTTTTTTATTATTATTACTATTATTTGTTAATAAAATTTTTTTATGACATATAAAATATATTAGCTGCTTTTTAATCAAAATGAGTTCTAAATTGAAAGTAAAATGCTTTTAATTACTTTTTTTTCCTACGGTGTGAGCCTACGTAGAGGAACTGTCGCCTACCTAACAATATTCTACATACAAATAATTATAATATTACTAGAAAACTAGAAAATTACTGATTTATATCTGCAATTGTAAAGCATGCAATAATAAACGCAAAAATTGCATTTAAATGCAAACCATGCTCATACTTTAGTTACACCCACTTCTCTTCCCCACACACACACATCCACAATAGTATAGACACTCAGCGCACGCTTCCACATGCAGCACAGCATGTTGTTGTTGTTGTTTCTATGTGCATATTGAAAATTCTGAGAATGCATTGTTAGTTACAATAGATGGCGCACACAATGGCCTTTTTTGGTTGCTTAACACCTTCCGCATTGAATGAACTAAATTGCAGCAAGTAAAATGACCACACAGCAAAGTACTGGTGACAAATAGAGACATGCCAACTGCCGTTGTTATTGTAGGTTAGCAGCACATATAGGTTTATATACATATACACATTTGTATATACATATCTACTGCCGAAGCAAAACAAAGGCAAGTGAGAATTTCCATATTTGACTTGTTATTCCGTTTTGTTTGGTGAGTGTTGCATATTGCCGCAATAATGGGCATTTCAAATCGTCTTATAACTATTATTTGAGGCTTATGACTAAACCAAACCGAGAAATGCATTTGAATTATTTTATATACCAATAATGCATTATATGGCAACTTACTGCTTATGAAGATGTGGAAAATTGTCAATTGGCTTAAGTCGATTTCAGTTAATCGCAACAATTTCAGCTTTTCGGACCCACTCCTTCGAGGCGGTTTTAACTTTTATAAATATCTTAAAACTGGACTTTCAAAGCTGTGATTAATTAGAGCTTAAGAATATGCCTGCATTTTTAATATATAGAGAAATATCTCGTCTAGCTTAGGTCGATTTAGGCTGTTCTATCACATTACTATAGAAATGTTTATGAAATTAAAATATAATCTCTGACTTACTAATAGTTTTCAATAAAATGTTAGGTATAGGCTTATTTTCGGAAAGAATATATATTTTTATATATATTTGCCGATTTTATGTACAATAAAATTTACACAAAATAATTTTTCTTTTATTCCTATTTAAAGTTTTTTTTTTATTACTATTGCCGAAAGTAATAACGACTATAAA